GTATTTTCATAATTTCATAATTTTTCTGTGAGGGCGTTCAGAATTCACATCTGCTAAAGCACTAAGTGAATTGTTCCAATAGTAGAACAGGAATGGCAGTAAGTAGTATTATAATTACATAATTAGGGTGGTTAGTTATAAACAGTGCTTTGAAGTAACTAACTACATGTACCAAAAGTCTGTAGTCTGAATAGTAATTCTGAGTAATTGTACTGTGGTAAAGTTACTTTTTCATTTTGTGGAATTCAGAATACACTTCTTTAAATTAAAGAATACATGGCAATAATTGATCACACAGTTTTGGCTTTGAACTGCATGGTATTAGTGAGAAAAAACTAACATAGCTCTTGCATTGTGTGTGTGTGTGTGTGATTTTTTCCTTTTCTGTCATATTCAGAATACAGTACTCTTGGATTGAACCATGTTTCAGAATACGTTACAAAACACATTTTAATTTGGGTATTCGGCATTCTGTAACTAAATACACTTTCAAATTATTCTTCCCATTACTGATTATAAACTTTATAGTCTGTAGTAAAGTAGCTATACAGACTCTGTCAATTCATGTAATTCATCATTCTGCAAAACTCCTATAGCACATACAGCCAACTCCATGTTTTGTACAATAGTATAAATTTTTCATATGATGTGCATGTACTCTATCGCTCATGCACTGTACATACCAATAACATATACGCTCTGTCAGCTACATTTATAGTGCATGACCTTATTGATTTTTACCATGAACTGGTATCCAAGGGACACTATTCCACATGAATCTATTAGACGTGTACAATTGTCTCTTAAGCAATGGTCAACAGTGGTAACTATCTAAAACCAATGCAAAGGCTGTAACTATCCACATACAGAATCATTATAGGCTAAGCATTGGTTCACAGAACTACAGGTAAATCCACTAAAAACAACTGAAACATAAGTTGAAAGCGATTGACCTACAAAGAAATGCTATTACCAGTGTGCCTCATCCTTTAGGTCAAAGATCCCCAAGGATGCCTGCGGGAAACTGTTGGCCCTTATAGAGTCATGTGGTTGTAGCTGTGTAGCTAAAGATAGCCAAATTGTCCAGAAATATATTATAATTTTGTACGTAAATTATACAATGGCTATCTATCATTTATTTTCTCTTAGGTCACAATTTGTTATATTTTGCTCTAGTGTTTCAAAGTGAAAATATACTTTGGTACATTATGTAAAAAGTGTTGGAATTAGAATTAAAGGGCCCATATGCTATTTTCTGATCATGTGTTTCATTCACACATGTTAAACACACAAATCCTGCATATTTAGGCTGTGTTCTCTCGAACAGAAAACACCATGTGATGTTATGTGGTAATATAGGAAGTGCTCCACTGTATTTTTAAACTTTGTTACAAAAGATAAAGGCGTTAACCTGAAAATTACCTTTTCATGACATCACCGGATGGAACAGAGCATTTTGAATTTTAGAGATGTAGACAAACTAATAAATGTAGCATTATTCAAACATTTGTGAAGGAAATAAAACTCCAGATATGTTTTTGAGGAGGTAAAAACATTCTAACATGGCTCAAAGATCACAAGAGTCAGTTTTGAGTAATATAGGACCTTTTTAAAAAAATAAAGAAATTACATTACAACAGCAAAAAAAACAATGAACACCCAAAACAAAGGCAAGCTACTAGCAAAGCCGAGCAGCAACATACTACCATATATTTCCACCCTCTATCACAACAGGGTGAGGGTGCATGAGTCAGGGAGATCAATCATCTTGTTGGGCAGCGAGAGCACAAATATCTCAGCTGTGTTGAGATTGTAAACTGTAATTTCTCATAAACAAGAAAATAACTCTCTTCTCAAGGTTGGCAAATCTCTCAATGGCCTGGCACCAAAGTGGATCTCATGCCAGTGCCATATGAACCATTTCCCACTCTGAAGACCTGTGGGGCCGGAGTCCTGCTGGTGTTCAGAGTCAGGACTAAACATGGGCAATCAGCAGCTTAGTTTTATGCAGCTAAAATCTTCTTGAAAATGTGAGACAGGCCTCTACTAAACATGTTCAAATCCAGACTGATGATGGTTGGTTTATTTGTGCATATTTGTGCATATGACTTTCTTTTTATCTGCACTCCTCGCTTTCACTAAGGTACTAGGGGAGTGTGGTGTCACCCGTAGCATTAGGCTCCAGTCAAATGAAGCTCATGATGCCAGTGGTTAAAGGGGCAAACTGGGGTCAGCAGTCCATAACAGGAATTTATTTACGCACAAAATAGTTACATAAAAAGCACCAGGGTCATGTATTAACCAGCTGGTTAATATGAACACTGTATTTGCAGAGGTTGCTGGGGCTAGGCTAATCACTAGGCCTGCCACTAAAAACAGTCTTACCCACTCCACAGTGCACCCAAAGCAAATGTATTATTACTCCAGACTGTTGATGTGAATGTCTGTGTCAATAGAATCATTTCAGAAGAAGCAGCAGTGAGTTGTACTTCCTGATAGAAAGCTTGGCAGTGGCGGATTGATATCACCTAGCACCTACCTTACCAGCACAGTAAAATTCCACTGCTGTTGAGAAAATAGTCCTTCAACATGCGATGATTCTTGCACTACAAGGTTAGTTTTATTTCAAACATTATGCTATCAACACAGACATTTACATTGACAATCTGGCGTAATAATAAATTTGCTTTGGGTGTTTTGTGGAGCGGGAAAGACTATTTTTAGTGGCAGGCTAACTATGGCCATTGACATGCGCTAGCCTAGCACCAGTGACCTCTGCAAATACAATGACTGGATGGAATATTTTAAAAAGTGTCTCCACATGTCTCCAACACTCACTAGGAAATGAGGTCCTATGTCCACAATTCTGGACTGTCCCTTTGAGACTAAAATGACAAGGCTCACAGAGAGAGGGGTGTAAAAGGGGTGTAAAGTCAATTGGACTCGATTGGGCCAGAAGCCCCCAAGAACACTTCCTTTTCGGAACAAGAAGGCTAGCAGGTTAGCTATTTCCATTTATCTATACAGTCTACAGTAGAGCACTATGAACTGCAGTACAAACGGGGCTCTACAAATAACCTTCCTTGCTGTATATGCATATTTTTAAGCAACCAAAACACTTTAAACCCAGCAGCGGGACACCATGTGAGACGATTTCTAAATGTTTGTACTCACATGAAGGTCTGAGCCAAGTATTGCCAAACTGTCTCCATTAATCCCACCTGCAGTTCTTCTGTCTATAGACACTGTGAGAGATTTTCCACTGCCTGCTTTGACATAAACATACACATGATGATGAGCAGACCCTGAAGACACCAGGCCCCACAAGAGAATGCAAACACATTTCACAGCACAAGATCAGAAGATAAGCCAGTTTACTACTGTCTTTAATTGCAGCCATAAGACTTGTTATGTAAATAAAATATGTACGCGAGTTGTCAACTATCTTTCATATAGGCTACTGTAGTACAGTAGTCCCAGGAGCCAACTGCTTGGTTGATGGCCACTTGAATTTATGCAATACAAGCTGTTATAACTTTATAGCTCACGACCCACATTATAAAGCCTTTTTAATATGGTATAATTTGTTAGGGAGAACAGAGATTGATTAGAAGTCTATTTGCCGTCATAGAATTGCACGCCCTAAGAATTATTATTTTTTTAATATAAATTACAAATGTTCCCATAAGTTTATTTCTGTGGTGATGCCAGGTAATATAATAGCCTAGATGTTTGAGAAATGGTTTTATGAGTGTGTAACCCACTTCGTGCTCGCCATGAACGCAGTTTAGGTCCACATTCAGCCGTGCGCAGTGAGCGAATACAAGAGAGGCAGAGCGCGCTCCTCCTCCTTCGCTTCCTTCTCTCAGTCTCTGCTTCGACCAGCGCCACTCGTCCCGAAAAAAGCCGAGCTGAAACGGCACTGACGGCGGACTCCTCTCATCATCAGCCTCGCATAATGGAAACTGAATTTAAACAGCTGTGCTTCGTCCGTTTACGAGACTTAAACGCGTTGATCTCTGAGGTTTTGAGATCGTAATTCATTCAAGAAAAATAACTTGTTTTTGGATTTTTTTTCCTCACAAATAACCCAAGCTTCGTCTTGAACTAAATTTCTTTGAGGAAGACTGCGTTTCTGTGGATGGAGAATTTGGTATCGGTGAGTTTTGCCAAATGGAGGCATGTAGGGTATTTCGCTTACACTTTGTAAACGCGGCGTTTAGTTATCCACCGGTCCGGGAAGTGAAATAGTATTTAGGTTAACCTTAAGTGTCACACTCAGGCTGTTGGGTATGTGTCCCATATGTCAAAATAGCAGCGCCAAAAAGCAGAGTTTTCTCCAAACCTGTTAATGTTGTTTTATAGACTAATGATCAATAATACTGTTGCCTCTGGTGATTCAACAGGTTCCACTATGATCAAATAGATCTTTGTATGTAAGACTTTATGGAATGAGCATACATCAATTGTTATTAATAATCTACAAAACCCACGCAATAAATAAAATCTGTGGCTGTCCCTCAATCATCTTAATGTAAAATGTGTAGTGAAGGTGTCGCTGGGGGCTGCCTGTAACAGAGTAATGCAATAAAGCAGGTCTAGGAAATCTAACCTTATCCTATAAAGTAATTATAGGGAAGGCGATGCTTAGTGGAAATTACACTAAATGTGCATAGTATACTGTGGCTTTCTTTATCAAATAATAGTTTTACTATTGTGCATTATCAATGCCTCTGGTTTAATGGAATCAAGAGTGAAGTCCATTAATGGTCTGCTCTTTTATTGATATTCTCACCTCTCTCTTGCCCAGCTTCCCGCTTCCAGCTGTTTTTGTTAACACATATTCAAACAATTGAGCATTGAGGTATTTAGATATGTCTGTATCTTTGTCCTAAATCTCGGTGTCTGTCCTCTCTTGTACAGATGGTGACTGAGCTGAGGTCAAACTGGTTGTGAAGGTGCTGGACTTGTTCCCCCCTGTGCCCCAGGCCACACACAGCATGGCGGCGGGAGTAGCAGCATGGCTTCCCTTTGCCCGGGCAGCAGCCATTGGCTGGATGCCTGTGGCCAACCTGCCCATGCCAGTGGCTCCTGCTGAGAAGAACAAGCGACAGGACGAGCTCATAGTGCTGAATGTGAGCGGCCGGCGCTTCCAGACCTGGAAGAACACACTGGACCGGTACCCTGACACTTTACTGGGCAGCTCAGAGAAGGAGTTCTTCTACAACGAGGAAACCAAAGAGTACTTCTTTGACAGGGACCCTGATGTGTTCCGTTGTGTCCTCAACTTTTACCGCACTGGTAAACTCCACTACCCTCGATATGAGTGTATCTCCTCCTATGATGACGAGCTGTCCTTTTTTGGCATTGTCCCTGAGATCATTGGAGACTGCTGCTATGAAGAGTATAAGGACAGGAAGAGGGAGAACGCAGAGCGCCTCATGGACGACCAGGAGGACAACAAGGATGCCAAGCTTCCCAACATGACGTTCAGAGAGACTATGTGGCGAGCTTTTGAGAACCCCCACACCTCCACCATGGCCCTGGTCTTCTATTATGTCACAGGTTTCTTCATTGCGGTGTCAGTCATCACTAATGTGGTGGAAACAGTCCCCTGTGGGTCTGCCCCCAACCAGAAAGAAGTGCCATGTGGTGAGCGCTACACAGTGGCCTTTTTCTGCATGGACACGGCCTGTGTCATGATCTTTACCGTGGAGTACTTGATGCGCTTGTTCGCAGCCCCTAGCCGGTACCGCTTCATGCGTTCTGTAATGAGTATCATTGATGTGGTAGCCATATTGCCCTACTACATTGGCCTGGTGATGACTGACAATGAAGATGTGAGTGGTGCATTTGTGACACTCCGAGTTTTCCGCGTGTTTCGTATCTTTAAGTTCTCACGACACTCACAGGGCCTGCGGATCCTGGGTTACACTCTGAAGAGCTGTGCCTCAGAGCTGGGCTTCCTGCTCTTCTCTCTTACAATGGCCATAATTATCTTTGCAACCGTCATGTTCTACGCTGAAAAGGGTTCAAGCTCCAGCAAATTCACCAGCATCCCAGCCTCCTTCTGGTACACCATCGTTACTATGACAACACTCGGGTAAGAGACGACACCTTTTTATCTGCTCTTTGTGTGTATGCGCACACTATTCACCTCAGCGTGAGTGTGAGTAAATGTTTGACTGATCTGAAATGTGTTTCTGTCAGCTCTGATGACCTAGAAGTTTTTCATTGTGAACTGCTCTTTTCAAAACATGCTGGCAGCTCTTTGAATACAATGAAACTTACAAGCAGTTGTCCTTCCAATGTACTATACTTTTTACTGTTGGATTTTGGATTCTGCAGATAGGCAGGGAGTGGCTGTAAATTCAAGCTTTAAAACTTTGTCGGTAGCTGGTGAGCTTCTTTTTTGTAATTTGATAGTTGACTTGTTGGCTATGAAAAGTATGTACAACCCCTGGCAAATGAAAATAACTGTGTTGCATAATTATTTACTGGGTCATCATTTATGTTTTGCATATTAACTATGTGAAGATGTTACTGCTCCAGGCCTATTTTCCTGCACAGCCATAACCTGTTTTGTTCCATTTTATTGAGATCATATATTACTTCCATCATTTTCAGCTGTGGCTAGCAACACAAATAGATCATTAATTTCACCCTGTGTGCCTGTGCTTTCACTTCTATGTGATACTCCACTATTAAGTCTAATGGTAATGTATTTGATGAGCATTGCCTGTAGTGGATAGGCCTGTGCTTGTGATTCAGACAGAGTTGACAAATTGCAGCATCCTGGTCAGACTCATGGAGGCCTTAAATGGCTGAGGGCCCATAGCGGTGACACACTTGGCAGATTGTCACTGCCTTTCACAGGCAACTTCAGAAATCTGATGTTTGGCTCTAAAATGGAACTTATGATTTGCCAGAAGAGGGAGAAAATATTCTCCCTCCTACTGTCAATTCATAATAATATTTCTCACATAGAGGAAAAAATCCTTGCAAAAAATACATCATACATATATTGTTTTGATAATAACTATTTCATTTGGTATTATTACTGCTGCAACAGCTCCAAATACTATTATCATTACTTTTATTTCCTCTTTCTTTTCTCACTGCCATTAGAGTACAATCAAGAATTATTATGTTCATAATAACATTAGAAAAGATATAGTTTTCATCATTGATTTGTTGTCACATTGCCTCATAATACTTTATTGTGCTTATTATCAAAGTGAAAATATGTTTTGTACATTTTCTTTTCTGGTATCAGTAGTACCTTTTCTGTGCTGTACTGGTACCTATACATGATACACAGCTCTAACTGCCAATACCTCTTTTAGTATTCCTTTAGAGATTCAAAAGGTGAATTGGAAGTAGTCAAAATCATATACTTATTTGCACAAAGTATATGTCATTTACTGTTACTGTCACAAGAGGCACGTAAATGACATTGGCATTTTTAACCACCTGTTTGAGACACCTTTCTTGCCTCATGTGACCTGCTCTTCCCAGTGGAGTGAGACCTGAGCTGCTTGCCTGCTCTCCTGTTGCATTGTGGGTCGCTGGGAAGCAGTTTGTGTGCTAAGAGGATGCTAGCGGTTCAGCCTAACCTCATCAATAAAGCTAGGCCCACAAGTGGGTGTCACATTGAGTAATGGTGTGGTCCACTGCATCTGCTGACTAACGTAAAGCTGCGTGACATTCTGCTTCCAGCTCATGGTCGACATAATAAACATTTATACACAAAATATAATGTAGTCACAAATGTGCAAGTGCCTATTACATTTGAATAAAAACACTAGACAAATAATGACTAACAAGGTTCAGTTTGTGCTATACACAAAAACACAATGACACAGCAATATGCAATTGACTTCATAATAACACATAAACACAAGAGCTTACAGAACAAAAGAGGCGATATAGTTAGAAAGATACTGAGTTTAAAGGTACACTATGACATTTGTCTAGCCTTTTGTGTAGCCTGCTACATGCTTGTCTCCAAGCTTTGTCTTGAATGTTCCATAGTATGGCATTAAACATATCTGTCTTCATGAAGGTAACGCCGCAAAGCTGGATCTGTACAGGCGAGCCAACTCACCATAAGAGTGGATGTTTTTCAAAGCATTTTCTTAACCGATCAGTAAGCACACAAGACTCCAGAAAAGTTGTAGAAGTGCATCTTAAAAGCAATTGAATATACTGTATGGTTGTAAGAAAAAATAAATTCAGTGATATAGCGTGGCATTCCATTGCACAATTCTCGAAATTATTCAAAATGCACCTTAATCAATATAAAATAATATTTTTCACAAAAATGTATTAGTTATAGTCATTGTTCTCATGATTTAAAAATATATAAATTATATTTCATACAATTTTGTTCTCATGAAGGTGTAGTTGACTGCATTATATAAGTAATTATTGCTAAATCACTATATTTCATCCATTGGGATATATCGGTCTATATCGAATCATGCATAATATGATATGTATCGTATCATCAGACTCAAAGCGATGCACAACCTTAGAAAATGCAAATCAGTCTTTCAGTGAATGTGTAGGAATATTGTTGTTTTCTAAAGTTCAAAAGCAAGATTTTCTGACCCTAGCTCTGTGTGATATTGATAATCTTCCTCTTCTTCTTTATGCTCTTATTGTGTCAGGCTCTAGTCTTATTTCCCTGCTGCTGACAGTATCATCTACCCTGAGACTTTCATATCATCTACACTGTTGTGTTTAATTTACTGCTATCTTTTCCTTGGCCCTGGTGTTAGTGGTACACAAGAGGAAAGAAATACATCATGTATTGTACTACCCATCTATTGTTTATGTTCAACAAAAGTGTCATGTTCCTACCACCTACGGCTATAGAGACATTATGCAAAACAATATTGTTAAGATGTGATTTCTTTATGGCAACAGTTAGTGGATTGGATAAAACAGCCAATGCACTGCTTGTCCTGGTACAGTCTTGGTTTGGGTCCAGTGTAGATTTGGTTTGCTCCCATTCTAGTCCTGTTCTAGTCCAGGTCTGGTTCAGGATTAAAGATCCTATATTACGCAAAATTGACTTTTAAAACATATTAGAATGTTGTCTCATCAAAACATACCCTGAGTTGTGTTTTGTGTTTGAGTATGCCTTTATTATGAGGCTGTCTACATCTCCAAAGCTCAAAACACTCTATTCCTTCTTGTGATGTCATGAAGTGGTGGTTTTCAAGTTACAGCTACCTTTTTCCTTTAGTTCAGTAGTGAGTGGAGACCTAATGATTCTAGTGAAGGTGTATGGAGTTTAAAAACACAGTGGAGCACTTTCTGCATCACATGACATCACAGGGTGGAACAGAGTGTTTTCTATTTGAGAGAAGAACATAGCCAGTATGCAGGATTTATGTGTTTAACAAATGTGAATGAAACAAAACATAACTCCATGTATGCTTTTGTTGAGGAAAGAACATTATAATATAGATCAGATTTAAGTCCTGGTTTAGTTCCAGTTTTGATGTGGTGATTGGGCAAGTGGGAACACACCGATGTCGATGTAGAATCTGGACCCTTTTGGTGCTCATGGTCGGTTTCTTATATTCATAGGGGTTCAACCACCAGCAACAGGGGATGCGTGTAGGTAGCGAAGAAGACTGGTCTGTACAGCCTACTTAGGGTCTTCATATTCCTGATGGAAAGCTATGAGAATTCTTGTTGTTGCTGTGCTGTTGCTGTGCTGTCTATTGAATGCATATCGGTATAGTGGTATAGGCATTATACTTTGGTTATGTAAAGAGTGCATAATGTATATTCATTAATGCTATCAATCTTAATAATTAAAATTTAATTAAAATAATAAAAACAATCTTACTGGAGAATTAGGACTGATGTGAAGGCACAGGTTTTAATAAAAATATCCACATCTCTGGAGACGGTGCTCTTTTGTATTGAACTATCATGAGCTGCTAAACAGCTTACCTCAAATCCTGCAAATGAAAGGCAGGCAGGTGTGCAGCGGCAGGGCTCTGACTAAATTGTTTAGGCAATAGCACCCACGAGGGGTTGTATTTTTCTCAGGTTGTTAAACAAATTGATTTTGACCTTTAGAATATTAACTTCCAGCAGCAGTCACATTTGGATAAACCTGCAAAATGACATAAGAGTCTCTTGAAAATGGTTTATTTCAATAGGTTTAGTTGTGTTTAAGCTATGAAAGGCATATCTGATTCAAGTTGGTAGACATAATTTATTACTTTTCTCTTAAAACTGTTCGCATACTTATGCTTTATTTTGACAAAAGTGAACACAAAAATATGCTGGAATTTTTTTGGATCTTTTTTTGGAATATTATTAGATATTAACATTTACTGTAATGTATGTACTGTATACTTAACAGAGTTAAAGTTATAGAGTGCTTTATCTCCTCTTCTCTTTTTAAATACATTTGAATGTAAACGTGAATCAGTGAATATTGTGAACAAATATAAACATTAATGTCTGTCATGTGTGTGCCATTAGATGCCACTCTGATTTACTCCAAAGTTGCCCTGATACACATGTGATACTGTTTTTAAATGCAGTCACTGACCACAACAGACTATAGGCATAAGCAATGGCTAACAACATACCATGTCATTAATTTGAGTCTAGGTTATGAAACCCAGCACTTGGTCCCTCCCTGCTCTACACCTCTGCACACTTTGGTGTATGGTATTGATGTGAGCTGCAGTGCTGGTTGTGTTGCAGTCATTAGTGTAGCCAGCTCAGGTATGATTAATATCCTTATCAAAGAGCAGTTTCTTTTGATCACTGCTCCTCTCAGATCAATGCACAAGTCTCCCTCACTCCCACACACAGTCCTGTAACTCTACTGCAGCTAAGAAGACTGCGGCTATCACTGGAGAAATGTAAAGTAGTATATAAAGTACAGAAGTATATAGGCAAAAATACCCATTGGTCTCAGAATGATGAGAAATTAAGACTGTTGCTATTGTGATTATCAATTTAAAAGTAAATATTCTATCATTTGAATGGGAAAATGTTCTCAAAATTGTGCATGAAACAGGGAGCTGAAACCCACGATCTGTCTATTTGTGACATTATTTCACT